TTCTGTGTCATCCTCACAATTCTTGACACACAAGAGCCCACTGCAGCAGTCACTGTGTCAATCCACCTGATAGAGGGTCTTCCTCTCCTTTACTGACCCTCCACCCTTCCCAGCATCACATCCCTCTCCAAAGACTAGCCCTTCCTAGCAACAAGCCCAAAGTATGTGAGGTGAAGCCTCATTATTCTTGTCTCCAAAGACCTCTGAATGCACCCTCTCTAAGACGTATCTGTTTCTTTTCTTGGCCATCAATTGGACGTTCAGTGCTCTTCCCCAACACCACAGCTCAAAGGTTTCCATTCTTTTTCTGTCATCCTTATTCACTGTCCAGCTCTCAGATGCATAACAAGTAATCAAAAAGACAATGGCTTGAATTCAGAGGCACCTTAGTCCTCAAACTGACATCACTACTCCTCAATAATTTAGAGAGGTGCCCAACTACAGATTCTCCCAGTGCAATGTGTCTCCTTATTTCCTGACTGCTTGTACCAAGGCTGTTAATTGTGGATAAAAGCAAGATGAAGCTGTTGATAGTTTCTATCTCCTCTCCATCCATCATGCTGCTACCTATTGGTCCAGTGGTAAGAATCTGTTTCCTTGACATGGAAACGCAATCCATACCAAGGCTGCATTCCTTGATCTACTGCAACAAGTGCTTAGAATCCTCTTCACTTTCAGGAAGTAAGTTATGATACCATTAGCATCATTAGGTTATCAAATCTAGTAAAATACTGCTTCTGTTTGGGAGTTTTTAAAGTAGGACCTATCAAAGAGGATTTTATGCTAAAATAAGTTGTTATGTCTTGTCAACTAATACTCAGAGTGACCTATGAACAACAGATCTTAACCCTGCCCTATCCGGTACCATCCGCATCATCTCTGACATTTTTGAGCTCATTGTTACAGTCACTGTGTCAACTGATCTTGAGAGTCTTTCTCTCTTATGCTGATTCTCTATCTTTCCAAGTATGGTATCCTTTTTTTTTGTTAAAAAAAATTATATTCTTTTCTAATAACTAGTCCCTTCTGACAACACGCCAAAAATGTGAGATACAGCTGCATTATTTTTACCCCCAAGGATCACCCTAGTTACACTTTCTCCAAACATATTTGTTTGCTCTCTTGGTGGTCCCTTGGATATGCAGTACTCTTCTCTGACACCACAACTCAAAGATATCGATTCTCTGTCATCCCTGGGCTTGAAAGTGACATTGTTGCTCATCAGCACTTTGGAGCATCACTTGACAGCAGCTTTTCCTATGCAATACACCTTTTTATTTCTTGACTGCTGCCACCAGGGGCATTGATTGTGAATGGAAGTAAGATGAAATTATTAATTTTAATCTTTTTTCCATCTGCCAAGATGTTGCCTATTGGCTCCGTGAAGATTTGTGTTTTCTTGATGTTGAACTGTAATCTACATTGAAGTCTGTATTCCCTGATTTTCTACATCAAGTGTTTCAAGTCCTCTTCTCTGTCAGCAAGAAAGTTTGTGTCATCTGAGTAACACAGATTGCCGAGGTGTCTTCCTTTGATCCTGATGCCACATTACTCTTCATAAAATCCAGCTTCTCAAATTATTTACTCAGCATACAGACTGAACATGTATGGAGAAAAGATACAGCCCAGATGCACTTTTCTTGATTTTAAACCATGTAGTATTCCCTTGTTCTGCTCACACAACAGCCTGATTTACATTTGACATAGCACAAGTAAGGGTTCTGAGATTTCCCTTTTAATGTCAGCCAAAATCTGTTAAGAGCTACAAAGACAAAAGCCTATGCATAGTCAACAAAACACTAACAGATATTCTTCTAATATTCTCTGCTTTCAGTAAAGAACCATCTGACATCAGCAATGATATACCTAGTGCCACAGCTTCATCTAAATCCAGCTTGAATTTCTGGTAGTTGTGTGTTGATGTACTGTTCTAGCCGCATTTGAATAACTTTCACCAAGATTTTGTTTGCATGCGAAGTTAGTGCTATTCAATAATTTCCAGAATGAGAATACAGATCTCTTCCAGTAAGGTAGCCAGGCAGCTGTCTTCCAGATTTCCTAGCACAGCTTGGTGAGCAAGTCTAGGGCTGTATACGTTTGATGGAACATGTCAACTGGCATTCTATCAATTTTGGAGACCTTATTCTTTTTCCAGTGCCTTCAATGCAGCTTGTATGACTTCATTTATTACCATTGGTTCTTGATCATATGCTACTATATTCTCTAGGCACAAAAGAGTTCTGAGTCTAATTTTGTTATGTTCTGAAATGCAGGTACATATCTATTATCCAACTAAACTTGGGCCAAGAACATCTAAAACAACACTTCAACATGCGCAGTATCAGGACATCTTTGTACATTTATTTTAATTTGTTTAAAAAAACAACCCATACATTGCTATGTACAAATATAAAAATCCAGAATGCAAAGGAAGTAGTTTTGTAAATTTTCTTAACTAAGAAAGACCTTCTGTTAAATTTAAGTATTTATGACTAGTATGACATACTGAGCAAGAGGAACACAGTCCTCTCCACAGTGGATAATATATATAAGACACAATAAGAAAGGTAATAAACTACATTTAAATACTTAAGAATGTAGGTGATATAGCTTCCTCTGATTTCTAACAAACATTATATATTTGATATATAAACATCTTTAAATGAAGGACAGCTCAATACTATTACATGTATTTATTCCATAATGACAATTTACCAATGTATAATCTGACATATTTTTTAAGTCAGATGAATCATCTGATTTGAACTAGAATTACCCACAAAGCATTAATGATAAATTTAAAATTAGTCCCAAGCAAAAGATATTTAAAAGTTACAAGGTCTTTGGAAAAGAAATCTTTGGGCAGGAAATTTTGGCTACACATCAATTTTTATTTGTTAAAGTAATTCCTACACAAATGATAGTATTATTCTTTGTCTTAAAGGACAAAACAAAACATAATCCTAAAATTAACCCCACAAATCCAAATCAGTCAAACCTGGAGTAATAAAGTTGAAGTCCAGTGTTATTATTTCTACAATAATTTGACAGGTGAAGTTGTTGCATTTGCTACTCTGTGCAGAAGTAATGATCACTTTTCAGCACTTTAGAGACAACTCTTACACAATTCTTTTTTTAAAAAGGTGAGTATTACCCATTATCAAGTAGAAAATACTTCAAAATGTTTGTCCTTGGTTTATATAACAGAAGAGTAAGATATTTTATAAAACTTCTTTATCCTTGATAATATTAGCTTTAAGAGTCTGTTGAATCGTAATAGAGGAAAATAAATTTTGAAAACATGAAAATGAAAAAAAAAAAAAAAGGTGAGTATCAGAGAAATCCCATAGAATATATTCATTGATGAAATGATATAAAAGCTGAAAGGTGGCCAAGAGTTGGTAGAACCTGAGGACAGTAAAAATCAGTCGTAATGTTCAATGATGGGCTTTATGCCAACACTATAAAAAAAGATAGACTTTTCAGCTACTGTACATGAAACAGTGAAAAAAAATACTATATCACATCCCAGCACAAAGCTACTATATTTGTACAAATGAATCATTTAAGAGTTACTGGGGTTTTTTTTGTTTTTTGTTTTTTTTAATATACTTGAGCTACATTTTCAGCTTCCAAGATAAACAAAAGCAGTCTATGTATCTAGATGAATTCTCTTTGACCTCAATGGATACCATCTTCTCTGAGGGCAGTCTTTAGGTCTTTTTCTATTCAGTACCAAGTTAGTGGTTTTCCTGGCAGCAGTCTGTGGTGGTGTAGTTTCTAAGTGTGTTATAAAACTATCAGGTTTAATGTCTGTTTTCCCAATATGACTCAAAAAGACTTCGTGGTGTATCCTTTGGAGTTGAATAACAGGCTGCATCCTTAAAACATGAGAAAATCCATCTGCTTGTTCAATCAGTGCAGGTAAAGACTTAAAAAAAAAGCAGTAATAAACAAAGTTAATCTCAGATTCAAACACACACAAACAGTACAGAGTTAATTCTTTGAGTTGAAAGTATTTTCTGAGAACAAATTTTGAGGGCCATGGATATGCAACTTTACTTTGAAAAGACTAGTTTAAGGTGAGGATTTTTAACTGAAAACTAGAATAAGGGATATTTTCTATTTCAGTAATGCTCAGCAGTAAAATAAAACTTAAGCAGAGAAGGAGGTAACTGAAATTCAGAGCTAAGAGTTCAATACTTAAAATAATTTTCATGTATCAATATTAGAATAATGAGTATTTTAGAAATAAATCATTAGGAGTAAAGAATCTGTACTTTTTTCCTGTAAAGGACCAAACAGTAATTATTTTCAACTTTGCATGCTTTGTATTACAACTATCCAACTCTATCAATGCAACCAAAAAGCAACCATGGACAATAATTTAATGAATGGAAACTTATTTAGAAAAACAGGCAGTGGGCTGGATTTGACTTGGCCTACCAGTTTGACAACCCCTGATAAAAAACATGCAGTGAAAAAGCATGACCACCAGAAATGAGTTCAATAAAAACTACAAAATAAATAAAATCAGAAGAGAGATTTTGAAAACATAATTTCCAAATATTAGAAATCCAAATGTTTTCTTGTTTAGGGTAAAATAAATTTCAGGAATATAAACAAGTTTATTATATAACAGTAATTAGTATCAAGAGCCCCAGCTGCTGTAGCTGACTGCCTCTAAAGACCCACTGGAGGGTCAGGTGGGGAGCTCTGGGAGCCTATTCCACAATGTGCTGTGCTGCTCATCCAAAGGTCTCACAGCTCTGGGGGTCTGAATCCACCACTGACTCCTTAGAAAAAAGTGAAAACAATCTCGATCTCACAGCTGCTAGAGCCTTAGCCATGATCTGACAATAATGAGGGTGTTTCCCTTTTTAGTGATTAAGAGTGCATTGGAGCCAGACTTCCAAGGTTTGAATCCTAGCTTAGCTATTTAATTTGGGTAACAAATTTAGCATCTCTATGCCTGCTTCCTCATCTATTAGTGGAATAAAATAGTAGTATATATCTCATAGAGTCATTGTAAGGACTAAATGAGGTAACATATATAAAGAAGTTAGAAGGTGTCTGACTCATACTACTAAAAACTAAAAACAAACCTAGTGCCACTGAGTTGATTCCAACCCACAGTGATCATGCAGGACAGGCTACAAGTTCCCCAAAGAGTTTCTAAGTCTGTAAGTCATTACATAAGTAAACTGCTACATCTTTTCCCCATGGAGTATAGAGTGGATTCAAACTGGTGACCTTAATATAGCCAAACATTAATGAAATCAAGTGTAAGAATATTTAGCACATAGCAAGTGTCTGATAAATGGCAGTTGTTTCAAATATTACTGTTAGCTAATAACATTATTAAAGATCTGTTTAAAGAGTACTGAGAATTCTTGTTTCAAAAAGTTAGTGTGTGTGTGTGTGTGTCAGAGACGGGGGGGGGGGGGGAGAGAATGGATCTTGAAAGTAAATACTTGGTTAAACACTTTGCAATGAAACCATGTTTTATCACATAGTTTTTTACCTTCATGGCATCACTGATCTCCTTAGCTATAGTTTTCCCTGTGTATTTCAAATATTCCATTCGAGAGGCTGCAAAGAAACCACCAGACAGTATATTTTAGCTTTTAATTTTTCCCCCCTTAAGAGCTCATCTTAATAGACATGCCAATAATATCTAGACAAAAATATGACAAGATTTTTTAACTTAGATGAATTTTTCTCAGAATGCTTTGTAGTCTATCAAAATAACTACCTCACTGAATTTATCTAAGTAATTGAAAAGACTAAAAATGTAGAATGAAATGAAAAGAAATAAACAGAAAATAAAAGTTTCACTATGAGTAGTCTTGGAATTGGGGAAAGCCCAATGTTCATTCTGTATATTATATACTATTATGATTAACAGCTCTCAGATATGTATCAAGTGACTGATCAGAGTTCAGGCTGACATCACTGCTCCTCAGTATTGTGGCG